GTGTCCATGAACTGTTTTTCAGTAGATTGCCAGGCCTTTCCTCCTAGTCTGTCTTAGTATGGAATTCTCCCTTAAAACCTGTTCAGCACTATAGCAACACACAAGCCTCCACTAGCAGTACTTATGGCCTGGATATTGTACAAATTAAATTTTTGCTGAGAAATTGAACACGTCTCTCCACATGTAAGGTGAGAATTTGAATATTGCACCAGGGACAGCTCCTAAGTTCTTTCTTCCTGAACCCAAACACCCAGCCATCGAGTCAGTTCCAGCTCACAGTGAAGCTATGCAACAGCGCAAGTGCCCTGAGAATTTTCTGATTCTGTGACTTCATGGAAGTCGAAAACCTAGTCTTTCTCCCACAGAGCGGCTTGTTGTTTCCAACTACTGCCCAAAGCTTAAGCCAAGTTCCTCAAAACTCCTTAGTTTAAAGAACTCCTCCAGCCCCCACCCCTGTGGCCCCTCCCACACCCTACACATCCCCCTTGTAGTGTGTGCCTTGTGTTTGGAATCATGGTTTTGTGTCCCTCATTGATGATGAGTCTCAGAGTTTCAGACTGTGCCCTGTTCATCCGTGTGTCCCACCACTCACCCTGACCAAGAAGCCAGCACTGGATTTTGATAGGTTAAATTGTGTTCATATCACCTGGAATCATAGACCCAAGTCTACTTTTCTTAATCCAGTTGAATACTTAAGTCAGCATCATCCGATGAGTTGAATCTCTTAATACCCCTGCTGTCTCCTTAGATAGACCAAGTTAATGTTCATTTTGGGGAGCATCCAAAATTATAAAAGCTGACACCAACTTCTATTAAACTTAACTCTGTAATATTAACTTGTAAATACAGACCCTGGAAACAGAATATTCTGAATTCAAATGATCTTTCCATTGCCTCAATCCTCTCAGCCTCTGGGCAAGTTCTTCACTCTTCTGATAATCCGTTTCTCCATTTGTAAAATTAGGGTTTTACTGGCCTTCTGAGTGAGGGAGGATTAGATGAATGTGCATAAGCCCATTAGCCCAGTGCCCAGCAAAGAGTAAATGGCTGATAGATGGCACCTGCTGTTGTTATCATTACCCTGTTAAGCAGAGCATTTTATTTTTAAAGACCATTGTATCGAGGGCTCTTATAACTCTTATAGCATCAATTGTATCAAGCATATTTGTACATATGTTGTCATTATGTTCTAAACATTTGCTTTCCATTTGAGCCCTTGGTATCTGCTCCTTTCCCCCACCTCCCTCCCCCCTCGAGACCCCTTGATAAATTATACGTTATTATTATTTTCATATCTTACAATAACTGCTGTCTCCCTTCCCCCACAGCTTCTGTTGTTTGTCCCCCTGGGGTGGGGTGTGGTTGTGTCCATCTTTGCAAATGGTTCCCCCTCCCTCCTCTCCTCTCCCCACCTCCTCCATACCCTCCTGGTATCACTATTCCCATTTCTGAACCTGAGGGGTTTATCTGACCAGAATTCCATGTGTTGTGAGCTCTTCTTACCTGTGTACATGCTCTGGTCTAGCCGACAGTGAAAGGCAGGACTGGGGTAATGATAGTGGAGGGTGTGGGGGTGTGGTGCCGGAAGCCTCAAGGAATCAGGATTATCATGTGTTTCATCAGTGCTCTACTGTACCCTGGTGATTCTTCTTTGTGATCCTTCTGTGAAGGGATGTCCCTTTGTCTAGAGATAGGTTTGGGGAATCTGCTCTGACTCACCTTGTTCTCAACAATATGGTTGATTTGTTTGGGGTCTTCTGATGCCTGTTACCCGATCCTGTCGACACCTCATGATTGCACAGCCTGGTGTGCTTCTTCCAATAGGGACATGTTGCTTCTTTGCTAGATGGCCAATTGTTAAACTTCAAGCTTTTAAGACCCCAGACGTTATATCTTTTGATAACCAGGCACCATCGATTTTCCTCACCCCATTTGTTTGTGCACTCATGTTATCTTCCGCCGTGCTGGCAGGGTGAGCATCACAGAATGCCGGGTTGTTAGAACGAAGGGTTCTTGCGTTGAGCAGAGAGGCTCAAAGTCCTTCCACTAGGTCCGTGTATTGTCATATAAATATATGTACATACGCCAATACCTCTATTTTTATTAATTAATGTTTTTACATAATACATGTTTTTATACATAATACATGTTTTAAATAATGTTTTTACATAATACATAATACATGCATACACCTATGTTTATATCTTGGGGATTTAGACCGGACTAACTCCCTGCTGTGTGTCTTGGCCTCTGTTGCAGTCTGCTCCGGCAAGGGGCCATCATGTCTCAAGCTCTTGTCAGCCTTGTAGTCCTCTCTGTGCAGGGACGTTGCCCTCAGGGATCGGTGTACTGATAAGGGGTCTAGACCCTCAATCACTCTTTTTCCGTCTTGGTTTGCTTCCATGTGTGTGTGGCATGCTGGCCTCTCCCAACCTGTCGGCTTCGCATTGTCCTCTGTAGCACATTCTTCTAGGGAGGGATCAGTTTGGCTCTGATTGGGGCCAGCCCTGGAAGTAAAGCATTTTAAATTTAGTCTAACGATGGAAATTTTCACGTACATTAAGATTAAAATCTCTTAGTATAAATTGTTTTCTCATTCCCAAATTCCTTCAGGTTTTTCAGAATTATCCAAAAATTATCACATCTCCTCCCCCGCTCTTCTATTCTCTATTGTCCATACTGATGAACTATGAAAAGTAAAGGGGCTTGGAGGGAACCATTAAAGACAAGAGTTCAAACAAGTTTTGATATTTTGTAATGAAGACTCATCTCTATATTGGGGACAAGCTTAAGTTTGTTACAGTGACTGATCCTGTGGCCTTGGCCCCATGACTTGTGCTGTGTAACCTTGAACTTCTTACCTTCTTCTCCCTGTACCTTGGTGCCCTTAACCGTAAGGTGGGGTAATGCTTCTACTACTTTCTAACGTTGCTGGTGGTGGGAGTTTCCAGACCTGACTGCAGATGAGGCTCAAATGAGTGAGTACATGTGAAACGTTTGTTAGATGCCAGATTTCACAACGGTCCCTCCAGGGATGTTACCTATCGAACATTACTCATGCAGATGACCAAGGCAGAGGCACTCCCACTAACAAAGGGAAATATTTAATGTTTGATTCTTCGTTTCTTCACCCAGAATGTGCAGTCAATCAGGTTTTAATCCCCACCAAGACTCCAATGTTCTTCAGCAGGAGCAGGCCCATCCGTCGTTTTGTTCATTTGGGGATGGCAAAGCCTTCGTGCTCTGGTTTGGTCCTGATGAGGACCCGTTCGTTCGTTCGCAGCGCCCTTGCTGACCAGCGCTGCCTTGCTTGCTGTTGCAGACGTTCCTGCAGGTGGTCGGTGTGGTGGCTGTGGCCGTGGCAGTGATCCCGTGGGTGGCAGTACCCTTGGTTCCGCTTGCCATCATTTTCTTCATACTTCGGCGGTATTTCTTAGAAACCTCACGAGATGTCAAGCGCCTGGAATCTACAAGTGAGTATTATTCCGGCTCTCGGGTTGGCACGCCGTCATGAAGGAGACATCTAGGTGTCTGAGAGACTCCGTCTTTCAACAGTTCCCACAGAGTTAGTGTGTACGAGTGCAGATTATGCCCTCCGGAGTCAGTGAACCCAGAAGCGGGGGACAGGAGGGGAGGACGGCCCTGGAGGATACTGTTCGTGGGATTGGGGTACCAGGAAGATGGAGCATTGCTCTCTCGTTCACTGCACACTCCTCTTCCCAGAGAATGTACCCGCAGTAAATATAAAGAAATAAAATATTTGCTCATTTGGGAACTAACATGGAAAAAAAATATGGACATTTCACTTCCCTCGCCGTACTGGGAATGACAATGAAAGGACCGTCTTAGGAAAGAGAACCCACTCACTGCTGTGGAGTCGATCCCGACTCATAGCAACTCTCTGTGCAGTGTATCCAAGGCGCAAAATCTGTATGGGAGCAGGATAGCCTCATTTTTCTTCCTCTGCAGGGACTGGTGGGTTGAACTGCTGATCTTGCCGTTAAGAAAGGGGAACAAGGAGGTGTCCAAAATAGAGTCATCATATGTCAGAAATACTATTTTACTAACGGATATTGCTTTCACATAGTGAAGGAAAGTAGTAAGTTGCCTTTCTTAAAGGTTTCAAAACGATAAAGCATTCTTACTTTCAGCCTTCGGTGCAGTTGGGTGTAATGCTATACTATCTGGGGTTTGGTTTGTTTTTAAAGCCATTCATATAAATGGACCTAGAAAGTAATGCCTTTGGGAGGACATTGGAAGAGAAGAGTCCATTTATAAGGCATTGAGTCCAATGCTATATTTAGCATTCTAGTTTGGGAATAATGGGCAAAACCTGTTATGATTGATCACTCTGTGGTACAGATAATCAGAGGACGAAGTCATTCAGAGCTCATCTCTCTATGAATCCATGCACTAACACTATTCTCATTAAGAAGGAGAGTAAAATTGTGAAAAGAAGACTCAAGGGCAGTGGTTCTCAACCTGTGGGTCGCGACCCCTTTGCGGGTTGAGTGACCCTGTCACAGGAGTCGCCCAATTCATAACAGCAGCAAAATTACAGTTATGAAGTAGTAGCGGAAATAAGTTTATGGCTGGGGGTGGGGGATCACCACCACATGAGGCACTGTATTAAAGGGCCGCATCATTAGGAAGGTTGGGAACCACTGCTCAGGGGTGATAGCAGGAAAGAAAGTTAGGAATTTGCATCCAGAAACATCAACTGTGGGAAGTCACTGCCAGTGAACCAGGCACCTTCCCAACTTGGTGGAAGGAAACCAGGCCCAGAAGAGAGACAGTGAGTTCCGTGGTTCTAAGTATCGAGTCAGTAAGTGGGTTACTCGGGACAAAGGAGTCTGGGGTTGCTACATATGTGTGGTGCTCTGTTAACACAGACCTCATAGGAAGTATTGAAGCGGCAGTGGATGACAGCTTTATAAAGTGAAAGGAAAAGTCTCTTGTCATCAGTAGAACTGGTTAGCTCCACACGTCATTGTCTAGTTCTGTGGAGTGTTTCAGGGACTCGCGGAGGGGGGGAGGGCCTGTACAGGTGTGGTTTCTTACACCTAGAGAGCAGACGAATAGATGACTCCAGTTACTGAAAGACATCCCATTGTATAGATTTGTATGGTTGACCACAGCCAACCTTTTTTTAAATGAATTTTTATATTTTAGATCATCAATTTTTAAATTTTAGTGACCCCTAGTAGGTTTCTGAGACTGTAACTTGTTGGTATTGATTAGCATAGTGTCCTCTCCAGCTCAGGGTAAACCCATGTCCCGGAGAACAGACCATGGTGTGACTGCATGCCATCTCATTATTGTTGGCATTCACGTCCATTGATGAGGCCACTCTGTATTTGTGGTGACTTCCGACCTGAGGGCTCATCCTCCAGCACTAGATAATATATTTTACTATATTAATTAATAAATATATTATCAATCAATCAATATATTATATATTTTAATATAATATATAGATGATATCTTCCAGATTAAATCATATATTTTTTGTAACCCCTGAGGTTTTCACTGACTAACTTTAAAACTGAGATAGCCAGACCTGTCTTCCTAGTCTGTCTTCTTAACCTGAAAGCTCGACTGAGACCGGTCTACTGTGGTTGACTCTGCTAGTATTTGGAATAGCAGTGGCACAGCTTGTAGCATCTCAGCACACATGCCCCCACAGTACACAGAACAGGTCCACGGAACAAGTGGTAGACTCACAAGAATGGCTAATTATAATTTGTCTGGTGAGGATTCCAAGAAAGAAATGATTTTTTTTAAAGACACTACTGACTCAAACATGAGTGAAGCAAGGTTTTTTGCCTGGAGGGATATCATAGAAAATTAGCAGAACGATTCATACTGGAATAGGACCAGGAATTTGAATTAGCAAACAAAGAAATTGAAAGATTAAAATTTGCTCAAAGAAGGTTTTAACCATTCCTGGGTCATTGCGGTGAAATGCGGTGTGAGCAGGAGTTTGGGGGTGAACGTGCACTGTTGCTCTGGAGGAGCTCTTCCCCCTTTTCCCTTTGTTCTGGGACGGATCCCCAGAGCAGAGGGCTCAGGATCCCAGGCATGTTCTTTGATCAGGCAGGTGCGTGACTTGGTCAATGAGAGACCACAGAACTTGGGAGGCGTCACTGAGCTTTCTCTGTGTTTGCTCCCCCAGCACGAAGCCCGGTGTTTTCCCACTTATCGTCTTCTCTTCAGGGATTGTGGACCATCCGGGCATACAAAGCTGAAGAGAGGTTTCAGGAACTCTTTGATGCACACCAGGATCTGCATTCAGGTCTGTGAGTCTCCCGAAGTGGCCCCACAGCATCACTCATGGGCTGCCTCTTCAGCTTGACCTCTCCCCTCAGGTGACCATGTTGGCGTGGACCTCTGCATTTTCTCCCTCTCCCTCTCCCCCTCACATTTGACTTCTCTTGAAATTGTCTGTGATACTCTTTCAGCCTACCACTCTCCCTCCCCCTAGGAGCTTGGAGAGTCCTCCTTTTACTGCAATGTTCTCGTGTGAAAGAACCCAACCAAAAACTTAACTCTGTCATCGAGTCCATGGTCACTCCTAGCGACCCTGTAGGACAGGGGAGAACTGTGAGTTTCTGAGAGTAGAAAGCTTCCTCTTTGTCCTACTGAGCCACTGGTGGTTTTGAACTGCCGACCTGCGGTGAGCTGGACCGTGGGAGTAGTTACTGTCTCTGGAATGCAATGTGAAAACAGGCACAGATAATACTTCAGCGATTGGTTCTGGTGGTGTTTCATGAAAACTTTATTACCGAACCGATTACAGGGATCTGCATCTAACCTCCTCCCTGGGGGGCTGACAACAGAAGAATGGGTGAAGGGAGACGATGGACAGTGTAAGATATGACAAAATAGTAATTTATAAATTATCAAGAGGTCGTGAGGACGTGAGGAGGAAGGAGGGAGGGGGGAAATGAGGAGCTGATGCCAAGGGCTTAAGTGGAGAGCAAATGTTTTGAGAATGATGAGGACAACGAATGTACAAATGTGATTTACGCAATTGATGTGTGTTTGGAGTGTGATAAGAGTTGTATGAGCTCCCAATAAAATGATAAAAAACAAACAAACATGCTTGACACACTGGATGGATGTATGGATTGTGATGTTGTATGAGCCACTAATAAAATGGTTTAAAAACAAAACTTTATTAGCAATGAGAGCTGGTAGCCTGTCATTCTTGACCCCCAGGCCATACTTTGCTAATGTTCGAGCAGTCAGCTGTGGTATAAGTGGCAGCGGAAATCACTTTTTGGCTATCAGCTGTGCCACCCACTTGACATGTGGATTCTTAGTTATGCGTAGAATTGCCTCTTTTTTAATTTTCAGAATTGCCTCTATATCTAAAAAGTCCCGACTTGTTCCTCTGATCTTTATTGTGTAAGTTGGCACTTTGAATACTACATGTAGATCCATTTAGCAAAATAGTTGCTTCGATGTGTGCTTCCACAAGAAAATCCACTGTGCTTGGAACCCCATGGGAAGCATGAAGGGTGGGAGAAAGTAGAAGGTGCTAGACACAGGAGAAGCTGGTTTTTTGGCTAACCGGGTTCAATAACTGCTGCCCTGTGAGACTTTAAACTTCGCCCTGAGACCCAGCCCTGCAAGAAATGCAAACAAGAGGCCATTTCCCTATGTTTTGTGTTCCACTGCACTGGTTTATAATGTTTGCATAGACTCTTTCAGTGAATGCCTCCCATAAAGGCACTGTCCTGTTTCATATCACGTGAATCAAAGATTGCGTTGCATCACTTAGCTTTCTGAGTCTGGAGGTTCCATGGGTGTATCAGCCTGCCCCAGCTGTTACCCTGCTGCCCTACTCTGTGTAAAAATGGTCTGCAACCCAACTGCGTGAAGCGCTCTCCCAGTTCGTTACAGTTAACATGGTTATTCTGCTCATTTACTATGCGTATTATGTATCCTGAATCCAGAGGCTTGGTTCTTGTTTTTGACGACATCCCGGTGGTTTGCCGTGCGCCTGGACGCCATCTGTGGCATCTTTGTCATCGTCATTGCCTTTGGGTCTCTGCTGCTGGCAAGAAGTAAGTGCAGATGTCAGTAACTATTTATGGAATGGGCACAATTCATAGTTGTGCTTACCGATATTAAAGTCTCGTCACCTTGTCTAACGATGTAGCCTGCTTGGTTCTGACGATGGTTCCAATAGATTGCATAAAAGTACTCATAGGGTGTCGGTTTTGCTGTGGGCCCAGTTGGACAGGCTCTCTGAGTCTTGATAGGTACTCTTTATCAACCATCCTACACAGAGCAAGCTGATCTCCTGTATATTCCTGTTGGTTATGAGGGGAGAGGCAAGCTTATTAGTAAGCCTTGTGTCCAGGGAGGCTGTTGCCTTTAGGGCTCCTAATTGTGTAGATGCCTGGCGTACTACATTGCGAGTGTTTCTCAGCAGGAAAGTCCCCTTGCCATTAAATGGCATCCCAGCCACAGGGACACCAGGTGGTGAGTGGTGTGCACATCCTTATTGTTCCCCGGGGACCAGGCTGAAGTGCGTTATTGAACAGCAGACCAGAGAGTGCTGGTGGTTGTTAGGTACCGTAGAGTCAGGTCCACTGCAAAGCGACCCTGTGTAGAAACAGAACAAAGCACTGCTTGGCCCTGCACCGTCCTCACAGTGTTGTTATGTGTAAGACCATTGTCGCGGCCACTGTGGCAGTCTAGCGCATCTACTTCTTGTTTCTGGACCTCCACTTCACCAAGCATGACGGCCTTCTTCAGGGACTGGTCTCTCGTGACAAGTACTCTGAAGTCTTGCCATCTTTGTCTCTAACGAACATTTTGGCTGTACTTCTTCCAAGACAGGTGTGTTTGGTCTTGCCGCACTCCGTGTTATTTTCAGTTATCTTCACCAGCACTGTAATTCAAATGCATCAATTCTTCTTTGGGCTTCCTTAATCAATGCCTGACGAATGCACATGATGCAATTGAGAAGACCATGGCTTGGGTCAGGTTCACCTTTCTCCTCCACGGAACCTCCTCGCTCTTCAACACTTTAAAGAAATCTTGTGCAGCAGACTTCCCCAATGCAATGCTTCATTTAATCTCTTGGCTGTTACTTCCAGGAGCATTGATTGTGGATCCAAGCCAGATGAAATACTTGAGCATTCCAACCCTTTTCCCATTCATCATGATGTTATTTATGGGTCCAGTTTTGAGGATTTGGGTCTTTGTAAACAAGACCAAAGTTCATATTGAGTTGTAATCAATCCATACCGAAGGCTCAATCTTTGATCACTTTCAGCAAGCAAGAACAGTGAAATTAGTGTTTCAATTTAAGTGTATTGGCTATTGCTCCTAGAACCTATCCTTTGTTTTTAGTGTTTTCTGACTTAGGGTTACAGAATTACATAAGGACCCTTGGAACCGTATCACAAACGTCCGTGAATAGTAGCTCATTCTTCACATCTATCAGACCTGGTGACTGCAGAGTGTTAGTGTAGAACTGTGCCCCACAGCATTGCCAGTGACTGTTTTTTGGCAAGTCTTTTCTTTGGAAGCATCTCTAGGGACACTCATCCCTTCAGCCTTCCCATGGATTAGCAGCTAAGCACATTATTTAGGTTTCTGGAACCAGGAGCTTCACCTACATGATACTGCTTTTCAAATGGGATGAATACATTTTTAATGAATAAGTTTAAGTCTTTCTGAATCCCTAATGGTGTCTTTTCCCCCCTTTTTCATTGTACCAGTGCCTCCATCAACAGATAATCTACAGTACAGCATTATTCTGTGTATATGCACATTATGTTAGCCTTTTCTTGCTGAAATAGAAGAGGGAGCCAGGCTCGGGGTTGGGATTGGGATTGACTTTATTCTGTTCTTCCTCTTCTGTTAGCTCTGGATGCTGGGCAAGTTGGTTTGGCATTGTCCTACGCCCTCACGCTCATGGGGATGTTCCAGTGGTGCGTTAGACAAAGCGCCGAAGTTGAAAATATGGTAATGTTTATATTAACATTTCTTACCCTTTTCAAGTCTCCTTGCCATTAAATGGCATAAAAGCAATTCTTATGTAAAATATTAAAACTGTTATTTTTGCATCATGGCTAGCAGAGATTTTTAGATCCTTCCTCCATCTGTTTAAAGTTAATGTAAAATAAAATATATACATCTTTTTCTCAGTCTTATGTATGCTATGTCAGCAGGTTTTATATTCATCACAAGCTGTCTTCAAATATAATAAATGTCTCCGTAGGAGCGGGGTTCTGAAATACTAGAGAGGATATAAGCTAATTTCTTAGAGGCCAGTTTATTTTCGCTTCTTAAAGGATAACTCCTCATTCCTAGTAAGAGAAGAATTTAGTATGTTGGGATAGTTTGTTTAATTAATAGCCCCCATCCTCCACTGGCATTTCAGGACTTGATCTCCTGTGTGGCCTACAAAAGATAGGATGGCTTCAATTTGTTGCTGTCTTTTTCTAGTATTTGTACTGGTCCAAGGTGCCAATTTGCAGTATGTAGGAGGGCCCACTCAGTTAGTGTGTAAGCAACTTTGGTGGTTCAGTAGGTAAAACTCTTGGTTTCTGACCGAAAAGTCAGTGGTTCAATCCCACCTGCTTCTCTAAAGATTACACTGTTGGAAACCCTAGTAGGCAGGTTTCTACTCTCTTAAATAGAACCCACTGATGGTCGGTGGTCAGTTAGCATCTACTAGAGAGAACACACAGTGATAATGAAATCCAGTAACTTATTAGACTTGAAAATGTAGTAAAGTATTAGATTTCAATATCATTAAAGTTAGCTTTTATGTTCACACCATTTACCTGTTCTAGATAAACCTCTTGCAGCAAAAGATTATTATTTGAATATTTTATTGTATACATTCCTTTTGCCTTTTATTCAGATGAGAAGTGGATAAATAAAGTATTAACACTCATTTCTCTAATTCTGGTAAGTTTGATACTCAATCAAAGCCATAAGTGAACGTATTATAAGGTGATGAACCAAGTGTGTATATCTTCATCAAAGTCCTCATCAGTCTCCTGCTTCTCTCCACTAAGGATGTTATCTTTAGCCTGCTGAGTATAAAAGGAGGTTTGATTTGCAAACTCTTAAAATGCACCCCTATTCCTAACACATGTGGATGTCATATCTCTTTCAGATGATCTCTGTAGAACGGGTGATTGAATATACAAACCTTGAAAAAGAGGCCCCCTGGGAATACCAGAAGCGTCCACCACCGGCATGGCCCCACGAAGGCACGATTGTCTTTGATAATGTTAACTTCACGTACAGTTTAGATGGACCTCTTGTTCTGAAACACTTGACTGCGCTCATAAAATCCAAAGAAAAGGTTCGTATAAGCCATCTCGACTCTTTAAAAATTTCAACCAAAGGTGGGATATCACATTTCCTTGTTGGCCTCCTCAGGGGCATAAGGAGGGAGTCTACCGTTCTTCCATGGATACACATTAGATCGATGCTGTCCTAGGCAGCTCCTGGAGACTGTGGGATATCAGAGGGTCGTTCCTGACTCTGAGCAGCCACCTCACAGTGTGTCTTACTTTCCTCGTGCTTCCATGACAGAAGCAGTCCAAGTGGGAGGCTTTAAAGAATAGGCATTGATCGTCTCGTATCGGACTGTACAAGAATAAATCAGGGCCTCCACTCTCGAAGAGAAGCCTTCCCACTGGGTAGTCCCCGGCATGCATTGTTTTTCCTTGGTTTGTAGATGGATACTCGCATGGCCACTTCTCTGTTGTCCCTAGGTCTCTCCATGTTTTCCCTTTTAAAAAGACACCATTCAGTCCTTGGACCCACCTTCATCCAGGAGGGCCGCATACACGTAACAGTAAAAACCTGATTTCTAAACAGCATCACACTCACAGCTACTGGGCTTTCAGACGTCAGCATCTTTTTGTTTTAATCGTTTTATTAGGGGCTCATACAACTCTTATCACAATCCATGCATACATCAATTGTGTAAAGCACATTTGTACATTCATTACCCTCATCATTCGCAAAACATTTCCTCTCCACTTAAGCCCCCGGCATTAGGTCCTCATTTTTCCCCTCCCTCCCCGCTCCCCCCTCCCTCATGAGCCCTTGATAATTTATAACTTATTATTTTGTCATATCTTGCACTGCCCGACGTCTCCCTTCACCCACTTTTCTGTTGTCCATCCCCCAGGGAGGGGGTCACATATAATTCTTTATAATAGGTTCCCTCTTTCTAACCCACTCTCCCTCCAACCTCCCTGTTTTGCCACTCACACCACTGGTCCTGCAGGGATCATCCGCCCTGGATTCCCTGTATTTCCTGTTCCTGTCTGTCCCAGTGTACATCCTCTGGTCTAGCCAGACTTGCAAGGTAGAATTCAGATCATGATAGTGGGGGCGGGGAGGAAGCATTTAGGAACTGGAGGAAAGTTGTATTTTTCATCATTGCTACATCACACCCTGACTGGCTGGTCTCCTCCCCGAGACCCCTCTGCAAGGGGATCTCCAGTGGCCTACAAATGGGCTTTGGGTCTCCACTCCACACTCCCCCCATCATTCACTATGGTAAAATTTTTTGTTCTGCTGATGATGCCTGATACCTGATCCCTTCGACACCTTGTGATCGCATAGGCTGGTGTGCTTCTTCCATGCCGGCTTTGTTGCTTCTGAGCTTGATGGCCGCTTGATTACCTTCAAGCCTTTAAGACCCCAGACACTATACTTTTTGATAGCCAGGCACCATCAGCTTTCTTTGCAACATTTGCTTATGCACCCTTTTGTCTTCAGCGATCCCTTCGACACCTCGTGATCTTTTTAAGAGACACGGCTTAGTTCGTTATATGGTGATTAGTGGGCCCACCAATCGCGCTAACATGTCTGAGTCTTAGGCGTGAATACTGTCCATCCTGCTCCTTTTCACTTACCCTCCAATTTCTCATTCCTGTATTTCTAAAACCTTCCCTTCTTTATTGCCACCACTTCATTCACATTTTCTTCATCTGTCCCTTGGATACTTCCATGGTCTTGCCCTCATGCTTTGATGTCTATCCCTTGCCCTGTGTTATTCTGCAGCACAAGCCTGATGCCTGTAGAGCTTCCTGGTAGCTCCTGGCCTGTGGGAGCCTCCTGCTGGAACCATAAGGAAGCCCCAGGCCCTCTCCAGCAGGAGCTGCCTACTCAGCTGTTGGCTACTGTCCAGGGTCAGGAACCAGAGACCCACGCTGCAGGCAGCAAAGGGACCAGTCTTTGCTCAAAATCAGTTAAAGGAGAGCCAAGATGGGCACAGGAGGAGGCAATGAGCAGTTTGTGAGCCCATTCTGCCTTGTCCTCAGTATTTCATCACACTTGGGGCTTTGACTGACATGAGATGGGCAGGGATATTTTGAGGGGCCAAACCAGAACAGATGTCCTGGGCTTACACATTCGCAGACAGACACCCCCTACACTCAGAGGGCCCTCACTTCTCCCAAAGCATCATGTCCCCCAGCTCCCAGCACAACTCCCTTTGTGCCTCTGCCTGAGTACCCTGCTCTCCCTTGGTCTGCCTGTGGAAAATCAACTCGTATCAGTCGGTCCAAAGGGTCTCCCTCATAGATCTTATCTCTCATTCTCTGAGACTCCCAGCAATGGAGGAGCATCTCAGCTTCACCTCTGTCCCTCAGAAAATGGCCTCGTCTCTGGCATCAAGTGGGTGCTGAGGTCCTGCGGTCTAGAGAGTAAGTGCTGTGCAGGTGTGAAGACGGCAGTCACAGGAAACCACAACACTGGCCTCCAACAAATAGCCCGTTACCTCCACGTAAGCGCTGAAACTATAAGAGCTGCTCTATTCAGCATCTCTTTCTCCACAGACCCACTTAGTGAACGATTGAAGTAATTCCCTGAATGTTAGCCTAGTGACATTGAAAAATAAGCACACCACTCAATGCCCACAGGATACCAAGGACACAGCTTCAATAAGTCACTTGGCAAAACCTGGACCCTAGTTATGTCCAGTTTCCTGCTAGGTTGGTGTGTTAGACAGGGTTCTCTAGAGAGATAAAACCAAATTGCTCATAATTTAATATATTTATTTATAAAGATAATTAGATATATAACAAGAAATGAACTGTTAAATCATATACAGATAAATATGTAATACAGTTAAATTATAAAGCACTACAAATCCCTCCATTCAACTCACTCCCGTGAGAGAGAGTTGTGAGAGACTAGCAGTCCTTCAAGTCTAGTCTGCTGCCAGATCTTCCTCTATTTATAGAGCGAGCTAGGCTGTCAGCACAGCAGCCAATCACAAGGCAGGTCACCAACTGCCAGTCCCCAGCTCCAGAGATGTCTTAAAGGGACCTCAACTTACAGCAACACAGTCCACAGGCTAGGCGTCCCACAGATAGTGTAGCCTTTAAATTGAGGCACATGACAAGAAAGGCAGTCGCACACTGGTCCGATGATCAAAGAGCGAGAGACAAGAAAGACTAGGCTCACCAAGCCATTTATCTCTCTGCCCTTCAGTTAATCACACTTGTGTTTATCGGCCAGGCTGGCAAAATAAACTATCTCAGGTGGGTAGGGAAAACATCCACAGCCACTCTTGATGGCAATGATGCCTTTCAGAGCGGGCCCCAATTAGGGATCTTTGCTCCTTGGAAGAGTTTGTGTTTAAAGTGTGAACGTAATGCTGTTAATTTGCATGCATCTGAAACTTCCCAGGGAGCAATAAAATATAAATTAAGAAATGCCACTGGAAGACTTGGAAATAGAGCTTATGTGTTTGCCCAACCTATGCCCCAGATTTGTATTCTTCTATCTTAAAACCCCCAAATCAGAGGATTATCTGAGAGTCCTAAAATGTTGGTGGGTAAATTGAATTTGAAGGCTAGGTTATAATAACCACAATAAGTTGAATTTTGATTTGTTTCTGGCCTCAGCTCCAGAGATCACATTTAGCTCCATCTGTGTATTTAGAAATTGTATTCAGGCCGCAGCAGCGTCCTGAAATAATTCCCCTCTTCGTATGTATAGCCAGGACTCATCTTCCTACACCTGTCTGCAGCCCCTTGGCCATGGGATTTGATTGCAAGAGGACACGGGTGTGCCCACATGTCGGAAATGGTGCTTGCTTTCCTCCTTTATTGGTTTCCTCTGCTCCCCAGATTCCTGAACGTTGTCATCAACGGGAGGCTGTAATAGTCACTAAGCAGGATTCAAATTCATGGTAGAGACTGCAAGTAAAATAAAGAACCAAAATGAGGTGAATGCCCACTCTGGCCTAGCTGGCTAATGTGTAAGCGCCTGCTGTATTTTTCATGTAGCTGATTGTGTGGTTGATTTGATCATTTTAGAGAGGGCTGGGCCATTTGAAAGCGTTTCTAGCCCTAGTGGTAGATTGATTTTGGTTTGTTATTTTTTTTCCTTTCTCAGAGCTATTGCTTGGATAATACATTTTTACAGATGTGTACTAGACCTTGCTATAATGTGCAAAAATATTGGTTTCCTTCATTTTATCTCTTTTTTTTTTTTAACATACTATTTTCTTGCAAGGCCTCCCCTCCGCCCCAGGTTGTCCCTCTTCCTGAGTCGAGGCTCCAGGTGCTAGCTCGTTCCCAGCCACATTGCCAGGAAGCAGATATAAATGTAGTGTTGTACCTTCCTCCATCTGGGTCACATGATGGCTGTGTGATTTGTGCCCACACTTAGATTCTCTCAGTCGTCTCTCTTCCTTCCACCAGTGGTGTTTGGTGGCTCATATTACTTTTGTCTTCAAAGAAACCTCCTTGGACAATTTGCACACTAGCCCTTGGATTGCCCCGGCCCCTCTGTGGCTGAACAGGAGGAGTCTCTTGAAAGCCCGGTACCATTTATCACCCTGGTAATTGTGAGCTTGCAGGATGCCTTCTGGTTTGCATCATTCTGAGTTTCCCTGCTTCCCCACACCTTTATAGGAGAGGTAGTCTTCCTCACAGACAGTTCCTAGTCCAGGACCGGTCCCTTCTGGGCCCAGTGTACCAAAGGGCTCTTTCCCCATATGGTGGGATAAAAAATCAGCCTCGGGTGGGTGTGGAAGGATTCTCTAAAATTGATGTGGTAATGATTGTACAATTCTCCTTGATATGATTAAACTAGATATGATTGTGGTATGTAAACTACATGACAATAAAACTGTTTGGGGGGGGGATTTAAAAACTCCACACACATAAAAATTAGCCTTGAGATCCCAAACTAAGTGCCCCAAATCTGTCTGATATGTCCCCAGTTAGTTCAGCATCCACTCCCAGCCCAGCTGTGCACCTAGCTCCTGTCACAAACAGTGTGGCCCACGTGACAATCAGGTACCTCTTTTGCTCAGAGATGCCTGCCTTT